GCCCTTAACTACTAAGCTGTAAACATTATTGCCCGCATAGTATCCTTGATGCTGTAGATTTTGCTGAATACAGATTTGTAACTGCATCTAAAGAAATTCGATCATTCAATCAAAAAGAAGAGAGTACCTGAGTTTAGCGTGTAGTTCGCTGATCTTCTGCTCGTACATGGCAATAGTCTCCAGTGCCTCGTGCAGTTCGTGTTCCAAGTCGTGGATCTGTTTCTGCAGACAGTCTATCGTGTTCCTAAAAAGTTCTTTTTCACTGTAATTTGTTATAAATGCCAGTGTTTATATCAATTGGTTTATAATTTTGAGCAGTAAATTATTTCAATTTTTGATACTTCATTTTTTTTTCATTTCGAGTGACTTCTTAATAAAAAAGATCCCAACTTTACTTCATTGAACACGTCTACCAAATATTGATTGGAATATTGATTTTAAACGGTTAAGACTCATGCTATTGGAATCACCACATAATCAAAAAGCCTGTAAAATAATTTAGAAGGATACAGCACAAAATAGGAAAATAAGCGTTCTTGTATTCTCACTTGAGGTTGTTTATCTCCTGATGCAACACTGCCATCTGTGTCTCATACTGGGATATGATCTCATTCTGGTGTTGAATGTGACACTCTGCCTTGCTCAGTGCATCCCTCAGACACTTCTCATTGGCCGCCAGTTCCCTCAGTTGCATCTCAGCACTCCGCAGTCTCTTCTCAGCCTCCGCCACTCGCTCCTCCGCACGACGCAAGTCCTCCATGTATGTCTAAATAAGGGAATACAGATAGTGAGAATTTTTTCCAGTTTACAACCAAAGAAGACATTTTGCAATTTAATGCTAAATGGAAAGAGCCCGAAAAAGAGATAAGAATTTCTGAATCGATGGGCAAAAAATCTGAAAAATAGGAAAAACAGAAAAATAGAAAAAAAAATTTAACGAAGCCAGCTGACAGGCGTTATCAGCGAGCGAATATAGATTTTTTCAGGTTTAACTTGCTCTACTAAATCACTTGAATTATTCATAATAGTATGTGCGCTATATCAACGTGCTGTCATGCTTAAACTACTTGATGACTGGTTTCGGTTACCGAACTCAGTATTTGTAGATTTACTCTTTATATTTATGTTTTTTTTCTTGGAAAATTTCAATTGTTGGTCTGTTATCTGTTTTCTTAGGCTTGCTTCTCTTAGTTTAGAAGAATGGATTTTCTGCAGATTCAAGTTATTAATGATAAAAGAGATAGGCAGTTATATGTATTTAGTATTTATGATATTAGTATTTAATTGAATACTAATATTTGTAAATTTAATAGCTCTTTTTGTATAAATTACCGTTCTTTTTTGCTTGATGATTTTTTTTTGTTAAATAGTTTGAGCCGATAGTATATTGGCATAGAAGCATCATATCGACTCATTTAAAAAATAATAAGAGATTTTCACTCGGGTGTGTGCTTCGAGCTAGGTTGATGTAAAAACTAAGAGCTTCAACGTTTAATAGCTAATTTTTGTTGTCAGAATAGTTTTGTTTTTGACTCAGCAGGCGTCCAACCAAGTGTTATCGGCCTAATTCCCGCAAGATGCTTTTTGCCTGAATGCTTATGTAAAGATGGTAGTTCTGGTTTAAATTTTTTGAAAAATAAAGTTCGTTCTTCAAAATCTACATTTTTTTTTGTAGAGGCAGTTTTTTTTTCGATTTCTTTTGTTTAAATAATTTTTTGGTATAGTGTCATTCCTCTCATCGTGTGTCTGCCAGATTACCATGCTGATTTTTCGATTTGACGCAAATTGTGCAAAGCTGTAGAAGAGCTTATACTTAAAATGATAGTTAACAGTTTTAGTGACAAGATTGACAGACATAACATTTGGAACATTAACAGAATATTAATAAGAATGGTTTTTGGTCTGAAAATGTACCCAGTTTTCAGGTATTCTCAATTATGCATCTTTTTTTTCTCAGTTGATTTATTCTCTTTCTTTTTCGTGTTCAGTTTTGAGTTAGACTATCCTGAAGAAACTTAAGGTTAAATTGTTTTCCAAGCACACCGAAGGCATTGCCACATTTGTTAATTAATTCACGCTTAACTAATCTGTCTAAACAATAGTACGGAAAATTTGACACGTATTTTAGATCATTTGAAATTTAAATGAGCAATTTTTGGTTAACAGGTAAATGTATGAATCGGCTAATTGTCCGAGGGAAACTTGATTGATATTTAACCGTGAGGCGACAGCTCCTCTCAAGCGAAAGGTGGTCGCAGAAGACAATTGTTAACATTTCAAAAAAGCGAAATTTTGCCGCAGAGCAATTAAGCATAACAAAAAGAATATTTCTTCGAAATCATTTGATTTATCTGGATATAGCTTTTTTTTCAATCAAAATTTTCAAAAACTGCTGCGCCTGGAAACTTGCAGCGAGTTGGTGTTTTTTATGGTATTTTAGGAGAGCTCTGAGACACAATTTAGTGCACCTAAAAGTCCCTAACTATTGCAGGGTGACCACTTGGTCACTTTTTAAGTGACTAGTCACTTTTTGGTCACTTTTTTGTCGAAATTCACTCAAAGTCACTTTTTTGTGTTTTTTTTAAACTTTTTAAACATTTCTAAAGTTTTTTCTAAAACATTTTGCTGTTGCATTCATGAGTAATCCAATAAAATTTGTTCAAAAAAGCCACTTTTTTATGAGGCAACTAGGATGCTATAGCTATTTTACGAATAAAAAGAACAGGTCACTTTTTTCTCGGCCGAAGTGGTCACCCTGAACCATTGCATCATTTAAGCATTTGTTAAGTGTGATGGTGTTCTCTTCTCTTACCATGGTAGCATGTGTGAGCTGCTGTCTGACACTGTCTCTCTCGTGTGCCAATTTGGCCAATTCAGCCCGCAACATCTCAGTGCCAGGGGCAGGGGAGGGGCAACAGGGGGGAGTGGCATGGGCAGAGGCACAGCTCAGTCGCGAACGAAGACTGTGGTTCTCGCTCAGGGCCTATAATATATTGCACAGTGGTTAAAAAGAGGACTATTTTCACTTTTCTAACGCTGCGTTTGAATTTCGAATTTGCATTAAATACGAATATCGGATGTTATTGGGTTAGTGGAATTTTTCCCATAAAAGCCTCAGAAATACCCATTTTTGTCACAAATTGTTCGTCATGAATTTTTACCTTTAAAATCAATCGTTTCATAATAAAATTGATGTTCGTGTAAGGTAGCGGAAAAAAGGAAACCAAATCAGCGAGGAGTCGTGAATGATTCCTAGGTAGTCTGCGGGCAGTAATGGAACAGAACTTATGAAAGTTAAAGTGAGCTGGTTAAATTTGATGTTCGAGTATAATAGAGTGAGAAATACTCTCACCCTGTCCAGTTCGTCTTCCAGTCTTAACTTCTCCGCCCTGAGAGTCTGTATGTTGTGCTTGGCCTGCACAAACTGGGCATCTATGCTCTCCACCAAGTGCAACAGACGAGGGTGGATTCCACAATCTCCAGCCTAAACAAAGTTAAACTAATGTAATAATAAGAGACACATCAGTTGCGTAATTTGATCTGATTTGCAAACGGCAAACGAAACAAATGCTTTTGACTATTTGGCTCTTTTCCACTTCTCTCCACCTTTCAATTTCAATTTTGAAAAATTTTTTCAACTTTATAAAAACGGAATGATAAAATTCATGGGCTCTTTTTCCTCCCCCCACCCCCCCCCCCCCCCCCCTCCTGCAAATTTTTACATTTAAGTTTGTTGACCACATTGTCCGATTATTATGAAAATTTACTTACAGACTAATGAGGCCACGACAAACATATTTGGTCTTCATACTCAACCTCGTAAAACCACTCGTTACACTAATATATTGACGCTCGTGTGAGGTGGGGGGGGGGGGGGGGGAGGGGAGGAAAAAGAGCCAATTCAAATTCATGGTAAACAATGCATGGTGAATAAACTATAAATTGTGAGCAGATTTATTCTTCATACTTTTTACTGTAACATCACGCGTTTAGCCACAATAATACTTAAAAAACTATAAAATTGAAAATTCGAAATACGGGTGGGGTGGGGGTGAAAAAGAGACGAATGTTTGCCAAATTTACACTAATGGGGAAAGTTATGCGCAAATTAAGATTTTCTTCTCTTGAAACTGCCTTACTTCATGAATCTTTTTGGATAACATTTCATTAGGGGCCCAACTAAAGCTGGAGATACCTGTTTGATATTTTTAGTTAGTTGTAATGATCCGGCATGAGAGAAGTAAATTCGAAAAATCAAATGTATGGCTTCAATCCAAATTTTAGGGCTCTTTTTCCTCCTTTCCCCCACCTGCAAAATTTTACTGGCATGTGAACTAATTAGGCCATGACAATCATATTTGGTCTTCAAGTTTGACCTTCTAAAATACCTCGTTAAACCATTAAATTGATGCTTATGTGAGGTCGGGTCGGGGCGGGGGGGGGGGGGGGGGGGAGCTGAGGAAAAAGAGCTAACTTTAGTTGTTCCTCTAATAAAATAAGAGTGAAATGTTTTTGAGAATTTTGACGTTTTCGAAGGTCTCAACTTTTTGTGTAAAAAATTTACGACTTAGCAGCTCATGCAGGAGAGCTTCCTTAAATCAGTTTTATCCATTGAACCCAAAAATCTAGAGTTTATTTCAAAAAGGCCAAAAAGTTTGAAAAGGGGGGACTGGAGAAGAGCCCCACAATCGATGCTCACCCCTTCGCATGGTGAGCAGGGCGCACAAGGAACTGCACAGGTCTCCATAGTCTTCGCCTGACTGTTATATTTCCGCGGTCTCGTCCGTTGTTTTCAGAAATCTTTCTTTTTTTAAGACTTTTGTTACTCTCGTTAACAATGTTTTGGTGATTATCTTCTCATGCGATATCTCTCGCGAACTCGGCTTTATATGAATGATTTTACCAGTTATAATTTAGCACGCACGTGCTTTGATGCTTAAAGTACTATCCGAATTTCGCCAGGAAGTCCATAATGTCAATGATGTCGAAATTTCAGATATGTAAATTCCTTCGAATTATGTCACTAGGCTCAGGCACCTCAAGAATCAGGAGGTCACAGGCGATGGATTCCAAACCAGACAACCGGACCCTGCTAACCCAGCTAATCTTGTGCATTCTTTTCTTCTATATGCTAATATTTTCTATATCGTCGATCCTGTTTGGTGCTTTTGAGTTCGATCGTTTGATGAATTTGGTTTGGACTGCGTTTGGTCACGAAAGTGACGTGGACAATGAAGACGTGAAGATTGCTTCTCTCATTGCAATTTGCTGTACATATCTCATATGTTCTATTCACTGGCCTTATTTCATCAGCAGAAGGTTAGTTATAATTACAAGAAGGCTAAAATGGTAAAAAAAAAAGCATGATCATATTTAAAATTATAAATGATTATGATGAATAATTTTTTTGGCTCTTTTCCAGTCCTCCCACCCCCACCTTTCAAAATACCGAGTTTTATGTTTGTGTTACGTGTTATTAAGGCTAAATGCGTGATGTTACGCTGTAAAGTATGAAGAACAAATCTGTTCACAATTGTCGATTTGTTAACCACGTCAATTTTCATTGCATTATGTCAATAAGCTTTTCAAAATTGAATTTGAAAGGGGGTGGGGAACTGTAAAAGAGAATTTTTTTGAATAGAATCGGAGAATCGTTGACGTTCAACTGGTGTGCATAAGATCTGAAATTCCCATTGAAAGTTTTTGGTTTTTTCAGTTCAGTTCAGTTGTTTTCTGATCCTTTTCGATTTATTCGTCTCAAATTTACCAATTCCGCTTTTCTTCCTATATTTGTCCAGGTTGTTTTTGAAAGCGTTCAAGGTCTTCGAGTAAATAACTTCTCCTGGCAACATATTCTAATCTGTAGCTGATCTAATGGTAAAAAAGTTTTTTCCGCAATTCGATTTTTTCGTTATCATTTTCTTGTCGTTTGTCCTTGTGTCGCGATTATTCAATTCGAACATGCCTTTTCTAGCTTTTGGGTCATAACAGTTGTAACCTATTTTGAACATTTCGATCATTGTTCCTCGCCTTCTGCGGTTTTAACGTGATGGTAGGTCTAGTTTTTTTAACCTTTCATGGTAGCCTAGTGTCTGCAGCCCTTGTACCATTCGTGTCGCTCGTCGTTGCACATTTTCGATTAATCTTGTGTTCTTCAATCGCGGGTACCAGGTTTGATTACAGAACTTCAAATGAGGCCCTATGAGGCCTTTATAAACATTTAAAAACAGGTATAGTCATTTAATGAATGTTTTCGTAAAAACTGCAATGATAGAGTTTGCATTTTTAACTTCTGCAAAGTTATGAGAGTCAAAGGAGAGTTTACTACCGATGATCACTCCAAGGTCTTTTTCTTCCCCTACTGTTTCGAGCTGTTTATCGTTAAGCTCATATGATCTTATATCACGATTTGATCTTACATTTGAGATTATCATATGTACACACTTATCTTCGTCAAAATGCAAAAGACTATTTTTGTCCATTTGCTGTTTTTAGTTCTTTTCCGCCCCCCAAATTCAAATTCAGTTTTGAAAAACTATTTAATTGTGGTCATAACGTAGTGGAATTTTACTTGGTGAAAAAACCAATTATTGCGAATAGATTTGTTCGTTATAATTTACATCATAACATCACACGTTTAGCCATAATCAAACGTAAAAGATCTAAGGAAAATGCAAATTTGAAATTTGGAGGGGAAAGTGGTATATAGTCTGTTTTTTAAGCGTATGCTAATTGCGTGATATTGCAACGGAAAGTATGCAGATCAAAACTGTTCTTTAGAGCTAGTTTGTTGATCTTGTCAAAATTTAGAACCTAGTGACAATGTTAAGGTAGTATTCCAAAATATAAATTCAAATGAGGGAGGGTGTGCGATGTGTTAAGAAAAGGTTGAAGGTTCCATGTCCCACTTAACAGACTTAAACATACGTCTTCTAACATATTTTGTGTTGCTCGTTGGGTTGCTATGGAAAAAGCTCGAGGATTTTCCCACAAAAGCTCGTGTGGACTCTTCTTGGACCTTTTTTAGAGTCGATGAACGTAGTGAAGACTCTTATATAGGACTCGAAGATTTTTCCAGTAAAAAATTTTAAAATGCTCGATTGGCCACATACGGGCTCGTTTCCAGATTTCTCATTCCTCGTATAATTACCCTTGCGATAGCAAGGGTATTGCAATCGGGTACTAGACTTTTTTTCCCGTTAACAACTTCGTTCACAGCTCTGGCACCTAGGTTCATAATGAGTTCAAATTTTGTAGAGTATCTTGCACACTTAGAATGGTGGTAACGAAAACGCCTGGGACTGCAAAGGCCCTGGGTTTGAATAGGATCAGGACCTTTTTTTTAAACGTTTTTAAAATTTTCGGCCTGTTTTTTGTCTGATTTTGTTTTGTCGGCTTAGTTGCTACATCTAAGAATCGTTTATTTTAGAGTAAACAATTTTTACTGCAGTTATTTTCAACTTTTAAAAAATCCGACCGAATCGAAATTCGTTTTTCAATTTGTTATATTTTTACCATTTCTATTTGTTCCATCTTTTTTAACGGCTTATTAAATTTCGGCTTAATTAATAGCGGCTTAATGACCCCTTATTGCGTTGTTACATTCGAAAACGTTTTTTGCGCGCGTGTGTGTGCTCTGAGGGGGAAAGGAACTTAAACCTTTTTATAAATTAAGATTTTTTTGAGTTTCTTTTCGGCATTAAGGGTTTCTGTTCAGGCTTTTCGGCTTTGTTGCCGCTTGGTAATTATAGATTAAAATCCAATCAACCATCAGGCGCATCTGGTGTAGAGATAAAAAACAATTGCTTGAGACGGCAAAGGTTTGCGTTTTGAATCCGGCCTGGCCCTTTTTTTTGCAAACTATAGTTTCTGTGTTTTTTTTTGGCATGGTTTCCGTAGCTCGATGCTTCAGCTTTACTCCCAGTTGCTGTAACCCCCATGCTAGAGACAACAAATTCCGGGAGGTCGATTTCAGTTGAGACTTGTTTTTCTTGAAAAAACTTTTTTTTGCTGTTTTAGATTATTGTTTGTCTGCTTGTTTCCACAGAGAGGAGTTTTTTGAAAACTTGGCTTTGGTATAGCTTTTGCAAAGCGCATTCTAGAGTTTCTTATGGTGTAGGCAATTTTGTTTGGATATTTTGGGCTTTTAATGCAATTTATATTGACAAAAACGATTTTTTGAATTATTTTTGATTGATTTTTATAGTCATTCATATTGGTATCGCAAATGGTGCGAAGCTTAGCTTCGCCTCTGTGTTACAAATACCCCCTCAAAGAAAGGTAAAATTGTTTATACGGGATTTTGTTTAAGAAGAATTGTAAAAGTTTGTTTGCCTACTCATGCTGACGCATTTTATTGCAGTTAAAAACAAAAAATAACGCAGTTAGTAAAAAAAACATGAATTTTTTCGTAACATGAGAAGTTGTTCAGAAACTGTTTACACAGGAATTTGCATATAAGAAAGTTGCAAAAAGTTTCACGCAGTGTAAAACATTATTTGCTCCATAGGTACTTGAAATGTTTATAACCACTTGAAATTAGTTAAAATTGTATGAAATCTTATTGAATTTTATTGAATTGAGTTCTTATTGAATTTTAACACCAAAATTCACAAAACCAAAGCTCACAAACTGTTTTCCGACTGAAAAAGTTACTAAAAATTATGCTCATAAAGCCGAGTTGTTTTAAATGTCTTGAATGGAAAAAATACTCTTTTCTTCATTATAAAGGTGCTGCCTTAAATGAATTGTCTTAAATGAAAAAAAAAACTCTTGCCTTCATCATAAAGGTGCTGCCTACACTATAAAGGTGAACTATTTTAGTCTTCAGAATCAAAGACAGAGCACAAACTCTGATAAATTGCTTTCGCCGCTGGAGGCACAAACAAATTCGTCCAAACACAAATTCGCAAAAAAATGTTTTTTATTTCTTTTTTTTTTCGAGGGGGAGGGGAGGGGGATTGTTCAATTGATCCCACTTCGGTATTTCATTTTAAGTATCTGAGTTCAATTTAAATTTATCTGCTAAAAGTTAGGTAAATTACACTTTCCAAAAGTATGAATTTGGGAATCGCGCAAAATTCGAACTAATTCAAGTTTCGATAGTGGAATTTAGATTTCCCAATAGAGTAACAACTTTCACCAGTTTTTTTTCAAATTGATCTAGTTTTTTCAAATTGAGTGGATTTTATTAAATTAGTGTCAATCATAAATTGTTCCCAAAATTCAAATAGTTTAAAGGCATATATGTTTTCGAAATTAATTGTTTTGAAAGTTTTAGTTTTCAAGTGTCAAATTAAAGTCATTGACATTGCATTCGGGAACTGGAGTCCCCCCCTAATTGATTTTGTTCGCAGGATCTTCGCCTTTAAGATCTCAAGCTCTAGCCAAGCCGCACGTTTAACGACTATAGTTTTGGGACTAAAGCTACTGAAGTGATACTGGTCTAAAGTTGAAAATCGTTTAGATACAAATTGATTTTTTTTTGTCAGCTTTTTTCATTTCATCCCAATTTTGGTCGTTTTACTCGCGGGGCATTAGAAATGTCTTTTTTTTTGCTTTAAGTTTTGCATTAGTTTTTTAATGGCTTCTCATTTATTTTTTTTCGTGCTAAACATGGGTGTTAGTTTCAGTTTTCTTTAGTTAGGTAAGTTTTAGGCTTGAGCAAAGAGTAATTTCATTTGAAAGAGTATTTTCAAAGAAAGGCTTGTTCTTTAGGTTTTTGAAAGTGTTTTTGAAACTTATGCCTTCAGGTTTTTTGAGTTTTTAGTTTGCATTTTTTTTTCTTTTATTTTGATCTTTGTGTATAGCAAGCATCGGATAGAGCCTTTTCGTCCACACATGTTTCTGAAGCCCATACAGGTTGTTTGGTTGCAAGATTTTTGGCTTTGTGATTGAGTACATTTTGGATCTCGATCTTTTTAATGAAACTTTTTATCCTACGATTTTTTCAACAGAGTTTATTTAATTTTTTTTTGTCTGAGACACTTTATTTTTTGAACCTCAATGTTTTTATTCGTTTCGCAAGTGGCATGAATGTAAGTTCCGCCTCAATTCTGAATACTGGGGTTATCCTATTCTCAAATTTTGCGATTTTTCTGTTGCGAGTTGTCGTAGTACCAGCTTTGACTCTTTAATTTTCGTTTTTTTTTCGAGAGGCAGGGGAGGGGATTATTCAATTGATCCCACTTAGGTATTTCAATGAGAGTATTTTAGTTCAAATTAAGATATCTGAGTTCAGTTTGAATTCCACCTTCCAAAAATACCAGTATGGGAATGGCGCAAAAATTGTTCCCAAAATTCACTTCTAGTTTCGAAAGTGAAATTTAGATTTCCCAATGGAATAATAACATTAACCAGTTTTGTCAAATTGAGCCAGTGTTTTCAAATCGAGTTGTTTTTTTTAAATTAGTGTCAATCATAAATTGTTACCAAAATTCAAATCAGATCTTAGTTTATAGCAAGCAAGGGGTAGAGCCTTTTCGTTCACAAGTGTTCTTAAAGCCCATACAGGTTGTTTGGTTGCCAAATTTTTGGCTTTGTTATTGAGTACATTTAGGACGTGTTGGATCTCGATTTTTTACTGAAACTTTTTAGCCGACGATTTCTTCAACGGAGTTCATTTAATTTCGTTTTTTTTTGTCTGAGACACTTTATTTTTTGAACTCCAATATTTTTGTTTTGCAAATGGCATGAACGTAAGTTCCGCCGCGATTTATCTGTTGCGTGTTTTTGTGTGTTTTTTTGACTAATTGCGTAATTTTACGAAGTCGTTAAGCACAAATCGGTTAGGAAAATTCGTTTTTTTTTTGGTTAGTAACACAAATTTTTGTTTCATGGTTTGAATTTTTTTTTAATTCAGTTCATTTTCTTGTTACGAAGAAGGCAAATTTTACTATTGAACAGCGAAAGTGTTAAGTTCATTAAAATCGTGGTTGACTTATAGTTTCGAAAATGGGAATTTAACTTTCATATTTCCCGAAATAAAAAATGAAAAGTTTGAAATGCGAATTAGAAAAATTACTTGTTGTTCCAGTTTTCTCAAACTGGGTTAGCTTTTATCACAAAAGTGTCCCAGTGTCGGAAAATTGTTCTAGAAATTCAAAGAGCATTAAGGCCATTGAAATCTTTTTTCTTTCATTTTCGAATGTTGAGTTTTTTCCAAAAACAAACGAGCCAGTATTTTTTTTGTTTACTTGTCTTCATTGACTCTTTTCCAACTGTCTGTTTGCTATGTTCATAAGTTTATTGGTTCACCATGCCAAATTTGATTGAATTTTGACGAGTGTTTTTTCAAAATTGAAAGATGGTGGGATTGTGCAAAAAAGCCAATTTTTCTCTTTTTGTTGAATATTAAGAGGTTTTGTTAAGCTTCTTGCCCTCCAATTCTCTCTCACTTACCAGACTAAAACATACGTCGCCTAACGTAAATTGTGTTTATTGCGAGGGTTATTGAAGCCGTTGGATTGCTACGTCAGTAGCTTGAGGATATTCGCACAGTAGCTCATGTGAACTCTTTTATCGTTTACAGCCGATTGTTTTTTCAATTTTTAACACTTGCGATTAGGTATCATACAAACAGCTTCAGCTGTTTCTCATTTTACCTTCATTTCATCCTTTGTATTAATGTGAGATATCCATTTTTGGCTGACGGACCCTAAAAATTGTTCTAAAGGCACCTTCGGCGCCAAAATAAGCCAACTTGGGGGGGGGGCGCCGATAAGACGAAATTTTTGGTCACAATTTTCCAAAAAAAATCTTAAAAACGTCTTGTTTTTGGCCTGTTTTAAAATTTTGCCTGCGGAGTAGAATTGTTCGCCATTACAGGGACCTTTTAGCACTTTGGGAAAGCTCGGAAAATCAATTTTTTTGATCTAAGAAAAGGTCGACAAAATTTTCGAAATTGTTTTTAAAATTCCGCCTTCCTAGAGAAAACCCTAGATCCGCCTCTGAATATACATCATGTGAGGCGTGGAAGGGGAAAGAGCCAAGATCCTTAGGTACTAGTTTACTTGGTTGGTCCTGTGACAAAACTACTTTAGATGATTGGTCCGGCTTATTTTTTCTAAAAAAAGAGTCAGCACGGGTTATGAACCTATGCATCGGGGTGGGTTTTCGGATTCGTACCCGCTAGACTAACTTGGCCAGCTTGAGCAGCAGTAAAGTGAAATAAAAATGCATGCTGTTAAAGTTAGCCACATACCCTACCTGTTTTTGTTAGGAACCACAGCGTTTTTGAGTGACCTAACAAGTAAACTAGTACCCGATCCTTAATCAATTTGAACTTAAATGAGACAGTGGGTTGGAGGATCTCAAATTTAAGGATCTTTTTTTTGTGAGGAGGATGTAAGCTTCGTCCATATGTTTCAAATACAGGGTCTTTTTACTTATTTCGCCCAAATTTCTTAACTTAGATATTTTATATTATTCAAGGTATAGATGCCGAGAACAAAACTCTCATCACTCATCGCACTGATTGATTTGTTTAATACAATTATGATTGTGACCTCTTACGCCGATTTGTAACGAGACCGAATTTTAGGCAGATATGAAGATGTTGTTTTTTTCCTTAACCTGTTTTTTTTCTGTGGTCTGCCAATTCTTGTTTTTTTTTCTGGTCTGCGTCTTATTTGCGAAATAAATTTTAAAAGTTAACCGAACACTTAAAGTTCTTGGCCAGGGGCAGATCTAGGATTTTCAACCTTTTTTAAAGTCAAACAAATTGATTTTTCGAGCTCTCCCAAAGCACTTTTTTGTCCGTTTTGGGCCAAGTTTCTGCGCCGCATGCAATATTTTGAAAAAAAACAGCCCAAAAAAGGCGTTTTTAACCTTTTTTTTTGGAAAATTTTGATAAGGCGCCTTTAGAATATTTTTAGGGTTCATCACCAAAAATGGATATTGGAAAATAGTACAAAGGGGGAAACCTTTGGGTCGGCAGGGTTCGAATCCCTGAGGGGGGTCTTCCCTCCTAAATCCGCCCCTATTCTTGGCCAATTCGGCTTATTTAGAAGTCGACATAAAATTGTGAACAATACATTTTGAGACTTGATGAAATTTGATTAGCTAATTCTAGCCAATCAGATTAAAGCAAAGTTGTTTCAGTTCAAGATGTTGAAATATTGATTTTTGGGCGGAATAAGTAAAAAGAGCCCAAACACATGACTTGTGACCCTGGCTAAAACATGTTTTAATTGTTGTTTGTTTTGTTTGCAGGTTCTGGGACTTTGCAGTGACTACGTGGCTGCAGTATTTAGCCATAGGCTGTATCATCAGAAGAGACGTTGTGAGATACTGGCCCTGGTGGGTGGCCAACATATTATCCCTTCTGCTCTCTATCCTAATAGGAGAAGGGATTCTATTCTACAAACGCAGAAGGACTCGCAAATCAAGACTGTAGTTGTTTTACATTTAGATTTATTTGCCATATATTAATTATCAATCTAATCCCCAGTCAGGCTTTTTTTCTTCGAAAAGGAACTTCGAGTCAGTAACTCAGTGACGAATCTAAAGAAAGAGATCCGAAGACAGGCACAACTAAGAGAGTAGTGGCCCAATGAGCAAAAATTACCAAATACTGAAACTTAGGTTGGTAAATTGAAAACTAGCCCAGCCCTTATCGAAGCTTTGTTTGTACTGATGTAAGCAATAAAATTTTACTTTGGGATTGTCGGACTCCAAAGTGAGTTAGGACCGACCGATGTGGTTAACTCATAGAGTAATTTCGGATAGGGTACACCGTCTGCTCGTCACGCTATCTTATTTTCGGCCGGATAGATTCGTGCAACTTCTTAGTCTAATACCGATCCTAATCATACTCTTATACTTATCTAGTCTCAGGTTGTTTAACTAGTCTCTGCTAGGCCCAATAGATCTAGGGTATACTGGTTTATTGCGGCTGCTGAAGTTCTCGGGAGAGTCCAACTAATTTCTAAGTTAAATTCAAATCTCTCTGGTGCTGAAATTACAAGTAATTTCAGCACTTACAAATAAGTGGATTGTTAGTCAGATGGATCATGATTGGTTAATATTAAATACTTTATATTGGTAAAATATCTAATTTATCCAATCATAAAATGTAGTTTAGATCAGGTTCCACCCATCCGGGTTTTACAGAGTTTTTTAGAATAGTTTTTCTGCAATTCGAAGGATGGATGATGGACGTTGGTATTTGGCGAACATCATATTTCTTTTCCGGTTTCTCTTGTTAGAGAAGTTCCAGGACGCTGGAATTAGGGATATCAAACGTTGTGTCTTCTTGTGACAACGACTGTGTTTCCGCAACAAACTCAAATCTGATTTCAGAATGGTTGGCTATGTCAGGTTTTTCTGTTTCATGTAGAGAACTTCTTGTGTTTGACCTTGTCTGGGAATGGCGTGGAGATTGTGCATGGAGGGGATGCCTGGTTACTCGGATCTGTACGTATACTTGAACATCGAGGTGGTCATTGGTCTAGTTCAATGAAGTCCTTTTCTGCGAAGTCAAGTCGTACTCTAAATCCTTTGAGTTGTGATTGTGAGCGGCATATCGATTGTGGTTGGCCATTCTTTTTCGAGTGTAGTGGGGTCGTTTTGTCTTTGGATGTTCGTCCTTGGTGTTGTATGCTGATCTATATATTGCATAATATAATTTACATTTTATAAAACTTTTATTAGTTAAATATTTTTTAATTATGATTTTGGTTAGTTGTTTTCACAAAAGCTTTTTGTTTTAGTTCAGTTATTTTGAAGAGTTACTCACCCTTGAGTAGCTCTTATTAAAAATAGGAGTGTGGTCACAAAGCGTGGATGTAGCACGGTGGGTTAGGCCGGCTATAGAGCATGCTCAGGACGTCCTCTTCTGGTGGGTTAGGCCAGGAGTGGAAGTATGATTGCATGCGGTGTTTGTGAGAGGTCCTGTTATGTGATAACGTTTTATGTTGGGTTTGTTGTGGTTTTTCTTATGTTTTGTTGGTTGTGTCCTTTTTTCAAAAATCAAGTTGTTTGTGGTATGGGTTTGTCTTTCGACTTTTTTGTGTTTTATTATTTCTTTCTTAGACTTTATAATAGTCTTCAAAAGAATAAATTATCCAGTTTTAAACTGGGTTAATCCGGTTTGGGTACCGTTGGTTTCCTTTTCTTAGTCATGCTGTTATTCTATGATTTGTGGTGTTTAGTAAGCTGCGTTGGTTAGTGTTGTTTAGTATATAATTCCTTTCCAACCGGGTTAAAGGAAAGTTTGAAACGTGTTCTCTTGTGTTAGAGTTGTTGAGTGTGAAAGCTTGAAACTGAAATTCATTATTTTAAACAATTCTTCGTGGGCGAGCTGTGCGAGTGTGGATAGAATTTTTGTGCGAATGAATGGAAATATCAAAAGGTTAGTACTGCATTTTCGTTTTATCAATTTATTACATAGAAATTCAAATTTACTGCTAGTTGTTGGGGAAAATTAAGTTACAAATTTTCATCATTATTAGATTTACTGCTTGTGGGGAAAAAATTTATAAATTAAATTACTGCATTGGTATTATTTTTATTTAATTGTTTGGTGCAAAAAATTAATAGAGTTTTAAACAGTTTGAAGAAGTTTTCTATTTTATATTTTTCTTTTGTGAATTTTTCAGATGATCGTTGGATGAAGGCTAAAATTCTAAAGAAGACATGGATAAAGAATGGTTAGTTTCTAATTTTAATTTAATTAGTCAATAATATGTATAATTCATACTTACCTGTTAGTCGTCGGGGAAGAAACCGTGGGGAAAGATGTCGTGGATGAGGTCGGAAGTTGTTAGTAATTTTGCTAAGATGCGGATGATATTTTTAGTTTGAAGCAGTGGCCAAAGCAATTGAAGTGCTTTAATGGTTGTTAGTTCTTCTGTGCCAACTGCAAACTCATAAGGTGTGTTTCGGATGAGATTATATAATTTGTGATTGAATTTAGTGTTGTGGATGAATTCTAATATGGGGATTTCTATAGGTTGAACAAATTCGTGTGGGATAAGGAAGGGTCGGGATTCTTCTGCGTTGAAGGTCTTCGTGATGGGACAAAAAATATACATTTGGGTTATGGTGTCGTAATTTCGAAGAATACCATGAAGGTTAGTATCTTTAATGCAATATGTGAAGTTAAGAAAGAATGGTGAGGTGTATTTGGAATTGATGAATTGAAAACGGTGGTGTGGTTGTCTGGAGGGAGTGTGTAGGTCGAAGTGATTTTGTATAAAACGATAATATGTATATGTGTGAGTTTGTTTAGTGCGTAACATAATATCGTGTGAGCAGTGCAAATCTCGTTCATGTGGTGCAAGGAAATGAAAGGTTAGTGAAAATAATTGAAAGCGTTCTTTAAAACTTTCGTAGGCTTGTGTGTCTGTTAGTGCTTCTGAAATGATGTGATCAAATTTGCGATCAAAGATGTTGAGTGTAAATACATATGGTGTTTTAATGAAAAATTTTTCTGTGATTTGTGGGTTAGCGAAGCGATCATCGTCTAAAAATTGATCTTGGTTAGTTCGGATGATGTTATAATCATAATATTCTAGCGTATATTCGTTAGCTCGGGGTGCAGTGTATGTTTTTAGTGACTTTTTATATCCGATGTAAGTAAATTGTCTAGGTGTTAGTGGTGTAGTGAGTCGATATAACATGTCTTTATTTCGTTCTATATCGATGTGAGTGTTAGATAAAGGTAGGCAAAGGGGATTAGTAAAATGATAATATGAGGTCCAAGGAAGGGTAGGCATTAAAACGTGTTCGTCTACAAAACTACGTGTATCGTTAGTGTCGTGAGGGGTGTTTAAGGTATATTGTGGAAATGAGGGTAAGGTGATAGCTAAAAATTCTTTCGTGTTAGTGTGATTTGGATGATTTATATATTCACGGGCTGTTCCTGGTTTTCCTGGGAAAGGATGGTTTGGGAACTTTCTTTTAAAAGTGCGATAAGCTCTATTAGTGCTGAGTGAAGATTCAGTAGATATGGATGATGGTGCTAATGATTCGGTATAAACTGAAGAGGGTGTAGGGGTAGGTGGGTTGGATGAATCTATTGTGGATGAAATTTGGTTTATAGTGGGGGTGTCAAGGTGGTAGGGTTGTTGTTGTAGGGTAATAAAATTATCTAGTTCTGGGGAGATTTGGGGGGTATCTGGAGAATTGGATGATCGGTCTGAATGAAGTGAAGAGTAGGTTGGAGTGACTTGGGAAGCATAAGAGGGTGTAGAATTGGTTGGGACAGGGTTATTTGGTAGTATTGGTTGAAAAGGGGGTTGGGAAAAAATTGAGGGGTTGGTGTGAAAATGATTGGATGGAGATGGTTCAGAGTCGGCAAATTCATCGGGGGTTTCAATATTCGGGTTATTGAGTTGTGAAGTGGAGTATAAAACTGAGATTTGTGAATTAGTATCTGAATTCATGCCTGATGTTACATTAATGGTTGGAAAATCGGGTGGCGGGAAAGCAAAAAGTGGAATTTTTGTAATTGGAGTGGTGAGGTTGGTTGGGTGGGAATTTGAGCGGTGTAGGGATCCAAGTTGTCGGCTCATCGTGGGCTAAAAAAATTATTATTTTGAGACTGAAAAGCGGTGGTATGGAGTTGTTCTATAATTTGTTCATAAGTATTTTCATCTTGTGAATGGTGTGTCATTATATGTTGGATGGGACTTTGTGATATGGTTGGTCTAAAATTTGGATTATGTGTTTTTGCTAAACTTCGAAAATTTCGTGGGACTAGGGATAGTGGATGGTTATGTGGTAGGGGTGGTAACTGTGGTGCTGTAGGCGTTGTGTCTACATTGTTATGTTCTTCGTCGTATGTGTTCTGTCTTGTTGCTATTTTTGTGTTGTATTCTTTTATTTGTGCGTCTAAAAGAATTTTGTTTATTGATGTAGAAAAAATTCCGAAAAATCCTGCAAATAGTATGCGTGCTACACTTGCTTGTCTGTTTACTTGTGTGTGTATAGCACATGTGTTGTAGATTCCTTTTAAAAGTGAAAAAAGAAATCCTATAAAGTTAAACATTGCGTATAAAATAGTTAATTTTTCTAAGATGTAGTAGGGCCATCCTAGAAAATCAAGAATTTCATTTTTGAGTGTAACAAAGCTAAAAATATTAATAGGTGATATATCTTGGGGACGGTATTTTTCACGGTTTAGATATATATAATCTTTAATGTCTTTAAAATATCCGCTATAGTCTTGCGTATAGATGTCTGCAAATCCTGCGGTTTCGGCAAGTTTGCGTAAGTTTTGGTCAATTGATTGTCTTTGTATAGTGTCCATTTGTGTTAATAATTCTTGGAATTGTTGTGTTCTAATGTGATGTTGAATATCTGATTTTGAATATATTCCTTTTGATTGTAAGTCGATATTTGGGTTTCGAGCGATAGCTCTAATGCTTTCAGGTGAAAATTTTTTGAGTGATTGCATTAATGTGGGATATGGGGTAAGAAGGTAATATTTATCTTCATCAGGATTTAGTTGTACTACATTGTGGCTATTTTCTGATCCACATGGGACTGCGGTATCCCAGAAATAGGTTCTTCTTGAAAGTGTGTCAACGAAATGTACTTTATTCTTATAAAAGATAGGGATTCTTTTATAGCATCGTTTGTCTTCAAAAACGTATAGTGGTGATACTTTTTTGGTGCAAGTATAAAAC